TTTAAAGTTATTGAATAATAAATAGCATGAACCCTTTCTAGCAAATTGAGTTTAATAAGAAACCCAAAAGTCAGCTAATACAGTAATGTGTTTCCTGAAAACTGTCATAATACTACTGATTATTGTAGCAAGGCTTTCTTGATAAATTGCTCTCTATTCACAAACAATGCCGTAAGACAACATGTGCTATTTATCTGATAACTGTCCATGATATTGATTGTCCCCTGTTATAACCCTTGCAGGTGTCAATGTAATTGCAAACGGGTTTTATCAGTATGTATGACAAGCCGTTTAACTATTTATTCTAACTTCAAGATATCTGATATAATATATATAAGATATCCAATATAATATACAAGTTATCTTATATAATCTAGTTTTTATAAGATATCTTATATAATCTTGTGTTTATAAGATATCTTATAGACTTTATAAGATATCTTATATACTTGATGCGATATCTTATAAATTATATAAAATGTCTTATAAAGTATATAAGATATCTTATAAAATGTATAAGATATCTTATAAATATTTTATTTATAAGATATCTTATATACTTTATAAGATATCTTATATACAATATGAGATATCTTATATAGTTTATAAGATATCTCATATAGTTTATAAGATATCTCATATAATTTTCTTTATTAGATGCAACTGAGAATGGAAATGGGGAATATGTCAAAGAGACAACAACCCGACCAAAGAGCAGATAACAGCCGAAGTCCACCAATGGGTCTTCAACGCAGCGAGAAAATCCCGCACCCGGAGGTGGTCCTCAGCGCTCGTGTATGTAACAACGTATTTGATTTCAACGAAAGAAATCTCTGTATTACTGAAAAATTATTACACCAGGGTTTTCGATATCACAAACTAGTCAAAACATTTACTAGATTTTATCATCGGTACAAGGACATCGTTCGTAAATATAAATCAACATGCAGACATCTTTTACGTTCAGGTATTTCACATCCAATATTTTATGGTAATATTCTTTACAAAGCACAAAAATGTCGGCATTCACATCAAAAGCTTACCAAACCTTTAAACAGACTTATTCGGAAGGGGTATAGTTACGATACTGTTGTCAGGTCATTAAGGATTGCATATTTTGGTATTAATATTGATTCACTCATAGGGTCTTTGTATATGTTTTGGAGTTTAGTGTGACGTCCATTTTCACAACCAGTACACAATTTTATTTAGGGGCCAGCTGAGGACTACCTCCGGGTGCGGGATTTTCTCGCTGCGTTGAAGACCCATTGGCGGCCTTCGGCTGTTATCTGCTCTTTGGTCGGGTTGTTGTCTCTTTGACATATTCCCCATTTCCATTCTCAATTTTATCTAATAAAGAAAATTATATGAGATATCTTATAAATATATAAGATATCCTATAAACTATATAAGATATCTTATAAATTATATAAGATATCCTATAAACTATATAAGATAACTTATAAACTATATGAGATATCTTATCAAGTTTATTAGATATCTTGAAGTTAGAATAAATAGTAAAACGGCTTGCCATAAGTATGTGTTCAAAAGGAGTCAAAAGATGATAAAACGATTAAATGAAGAAGTAGTTCTAAAGTCTAAAAGTCTTTCATCATATGGCTTGATTAGTGCGGATCCTAATCAAAATTTAATTACCCTAGATTTCTTTTGATTTTGTATGTCTTTGATCGGGTTGCTATCTCATTGACATACAGCCAACATATTCCTGTATTCCTATTACCTACTTTTACTAAGCCTTTTTCAAAGTTTGCTTTGAGCGGATTAAACCTTTTTAAAATGTATTTATTATTCTGTTGTATAGTGTGATCTTCCTTTAATAACAATCATTCCAGATTCGTTCTCTTTCCTTTCCAAACGGTTTAACTAATTCTAAAAAACTGAAAAGTCCACTTATAAATTTTTTTTAATATCTCAGGTTGAAAAGAGAAAAGAAATCCGTCTCTGACCAGGCTCAAGGTCAATGATGATAATTTCCTTGCATTGCATGGGATAGCTTACAAAATATAAGAATCCAGGCTAATAATACGAGGTCTTGAGCTGGCATGTCAGTAACTGCTAGTAGTTCTTTGTTAAATCAGTTTATGTTGATTATTGTCATTTTGCTTAGTTTCTTCTGTTGCCTATTCTAAAATTGAACTCGGACTTCTTTTAAACTGAATTTTACTGTGCGTATTGTTGTGTGTTTGTTTATTCCACATGGGCTAGAGGTATAGGAAGAGGGTTGAGATCTCACAAAACATGTCTAACCCCGCCGCATTTTTGCCCATGTCCCAAGTCAGGAACCTCTGGCCTTTGTTAGTCTTGTATGTTTTTTTAAATTTTGGTTCATTTATATGTTTCGGAGTTTAGTGTGGCGTCCATTTTCGCTGAACTAGTATACATTATTGTTTAGGGGCCAGCTGATATCCGCCTCCGGGTGCGGGATTTTCTCGTTGTGTTGAAGACCCATTGGTGGCCTTGAGCTGTTTTCTGCTCTTTGGTCGGGTTGTTGTCTCTTTGATGCATTCCCCGTTTCCATTCTCAATTCTTGTATATGTTATTAATTTGAGGTAAGTAGAAGTTGAAAAAGACATGTAATTCAAATCAAACGATCGCACCTGAGATAAGCAGAAATTTACACGGATCTCTACAAATAATTTCAGGGGCGGATCCAGCCATTTTTAAAAGGGGGTTTCAACCCAGGGTAAAGGGGGCGGGGGGTTCCAATCATATGTCCCCATTCAAAAGCATTGATCGTCAAAAAAGGGGGTTCCAATCCCCGGACCCCCCCCCCGGGATCCGCCACTGGATGTCTACATTTTTTTTTATTCCAAATACAATTACTGAGTTGAACAACCCTCCTATTTTTTTAATTATGTCACCAGCCCTAAGAGACTTTAAAAAGTGGTATCCCTTCATTATAACATTTGCAGGATCTACAACCACCACTACTTATATATAGATACGACTTTTTACTTAGTCTTAAGTTAAGATTCGCGGTGCTGAGAAAAAGTCGGGTAAATAAGTGTACCATGTGCTTGATTCGTGGCAATTTTATATAAAAAAGTAAAGTTGTAATGATTCACAACCTTAATGGGAATTAACTATTTGTGTTGTGTAAAACATTCGTTTCGTGTTTTTTTTTTTTTAATAAATTACGTTCTTTTGATTATCCTTTTAATTCGGTTAACAGTTTTGAATATTCGACTCTCTACACCACACTTCCACACAATCTTAGCAAACACAAATTAACCTTTTTAATTAAATGGTTGTTTGAAAAATCTGAGTGCAAATGTATTTGCAGCAACTCATTTAAAGCCCTGTTACTGCGTTGCTATGGATCACAGTTTATGGTAAATCTCACTAAATGCCTGCCTGTCTGAATTCCAGATAACAACACTGACTCAGTGTTATCTTGGTGATTTTTTTGTTGTTGAATATACAATTCTCTAGATATACTGTCGAAATTTACCCAAAGGAACTTACTTTAAATAAATCGATTATATAAATACCAATAAGACTCCTTTCCTATATTTATAAAGTTGGCTGTTGTTGTAGAAAACTTATAACAAACGGGATATCACATTCTGATTTTTACGGTGATGTTGTTTATAGAGCCCGTTATTCCAGTCAGGTACGATCCGTGTAAACTTATCGATCCTTAAAATAAGATTATTCTAAAAGGTGACTAATTTAACGCTGTAATTAGTAATTAATTATTAATGTTTAAAATACATTTGTAGTTCTTAGAGTTATCTAGTTTTAGTTTAGTCGGAAACTTTGCAAAAATTGGAATATTTGTAAAAAATTGATATTTCGAATCGTGAAAGATCGGGTACCGCTTTTTGATGATCGTGAAAAGGATCGTGAAAGATCTGTTGCCGCTTATTCTTTATTGCAAAAATCCACGAAATCGATCAATCATGTTTTAAACACATGCTAATTTATATTTGTATTTATATTATTGTTATAGCAAAAGATTGGATTTGCATGACTTATTCCATTTCAGGATCTGATTATTTGAAGTTACCACACCGACTAGTTGCCTTATGACAATATAAGTCCGTCTGTCCATCCTGCATAAGTTTCATGATAAGGTGAGATTGTCTGATCCTGATTTCAATTAATTTTTATGCACAGTCATATTTATTATATTTGTAAAAATTGGAGAAAAAAAACATTGTTTAAAAAATACCACAGGAAAACAGCTGTCACATTCCTGACTAGGCACAGGCTTTTTCCTAAGAAAATGGTGGATAAAACCTGGTTTTCTAGCTAAAACGCTCATTCGTATAACAGTTGTTTAATGTTCCGTAATATTGCAAATTGGGTGAGCAACCCATACAGACATACTTGGTTAACATGGCCATAACTGGAATCCATCAGCCAAATACTTACAACTTGATTAAATCAAACAAAGACGCCAACAAAAGAAGTTTTTGTAGTTGACAATTCAGTAAGTATAGTAAACCATAATGACAAATACACTTTCCTGATAAAATAATATAAATACAAGGGTATACAAAATGATAACAACACTATAAACACCTCATATGTCCGAATCGCATCTCTGGACCCAACAGCATAAGAAAAGCCAAAAGCCAAAAACCCGAATGCTGGATGCACATATACCGAACCATGCTAAGAGTCATACGACCAAATCACAGGCACTTGTCTCAGAATTTTTTTCCCCTATATACCTTAATATAACGTGTTATATTAAGGTATATAGGAAAAAAATTTCTGAGGCAAGTGCCTGTGGACCAAATGGAAAATTATAGTACAAAGACAATTTAAAATAAAGGTAAAACTGTAAAGTAGATAAAATTTTGAACAGAATCAGCACCTATAATCTATAACTCAACCATCCTGTATTATTTGCGAAGTAGACACTGGGAGTCTTCTTACCTACTTGCAAAAACGAAGAAGGGTCGAGACCTAGTTGTGTCGAGTCCACGAATGAAAACGAAAGTGAAACCGGATGTAAACACGACCAAACAAAGTTGACACCAGAACTAGGTTTAGATTTACGGGTAAAACAAGTATAATAGTGTTGAAGGGTCCTTTAGAAGGATTGATTATAGTTGTGAACAAGTGTGGTAAAGATTAATGGAAGCTATCACAGGCACTTATTTCTAAAATATTGTTATAATGTATTATTTTATTATTATGAATGAGAGATATATAATACATGTACATGTATTATATGTAAGTAAGTAAGTAAGTAAATTTTATTTAAATTCTGCAAATATGTACACAAATACATAGAAAACATGAGCTCTGGTGAGCTCTTTAACAGACTATGTCTCAGTAATATTATGAATCATTTTCAGTCAATTATTAACGATAAAAGTGGTTTGTGGAAAGATTGGAATTGTTCCAATTCTTTCCTAAGGCACCCGCCTCTCAAACAGAAAGAAGACAGATTTGCTACTAAATCAGTAACTAAATCTATACACACTGACATAGTTCCAAATTGTTCTCATGTCTGTGTACATATGCAGAAATGAACTGTAAAAAATTTGGTTACATCTTAATTAAAGAGTATTTTTTCAAGAATAATAGTCTTTACTTTTTTTAATTTACTGGCTGGTTTTGTCTTTTTGATTAAGTAAGAGTATTGGTACAATATCAGTCTGATTGACAACTGTCATAATCAAAGAACAATCAAACACAAAGGGTGGAGCAATAATTGGAATTGTATACAGACCCCTCCTCTTTAATGCCAGTCAGGTATTGGATCAGTTCGCCCTGAATACATGTTCACCCTGGGTCCGTTCGCCCTGAGTCTGTTCGCCCATAGAGTCCATTCACCCTGGGTTCGTTCGCCCTACTTTTCATAAAAACATGATAAATATTAATGGTATTATTAAGTTTTTATAAACTTATTCAGATATGTATATGGTAAATATGAAATAAAATACATGTTTCTGAAAAATCATGATAAAAACATAGAAATATTTAAATATTAATGGCTTGTTTTGGAATCAAATAACAGATGTTTTGTTTTATTTCTTCAAATATTTAAAACAATGTGACATTAGTCCATGCTTACTTTTTATTTTTTAAGAAATGGATGCTTGTAACATGTTTTATTTGCTAATTTTTAAAAGATGGCTTTTTGTGAACATCGCATGGCTACGTTTCCATAGATTTTACTTTTTCCAGTGAATATGTCATCTGATGATATCTACAGTGACAATTTTGTGCATATCTATATATATTTAGCTTTATATTTTGCATAATGTCAAATCATAAAAATACAAATTTTTTATATGACCGCAAACAATTTTATAAGCATTTTTCTAGTTTCCAGACAATAACTTGTGGAACGGTGTATGGATCTCTCTGAAATTATACCACAAGTTTCCATACCACAAAGGGATGGTTAGGATTGGCTTTGAGGGGTTATGGCTCAAACCGTTTAGGAATTAGGGGCAAAAAAGGGGGAAAAACAAGGGTTTTCTGAATATTGGAAAATTAGAAAAAAGTACAATGTTATGTTTGGATTACCTCCCTTACACTACAATGTTATGTTTGGACTACCTCCCTTACATGGCTTTTAAATTATGTATAAAGAAATGTTGTATTGTCTTGAGGTGATTAGCTGTCAATTTATTTTTAGAAGTTACTATTTAAAAATGCTGATTAAGGAATATTGATTTTAGCCATGATTATGTATGTCATTTTCTATTTTAAAACTCTTATGATGTATTTAAATGGGTTGCAAACTCCATTGGAAATTTGAATTGAGATTATGACCATACATGTATCTTGAGGGAAAGATTTTTTTTTTTATAGCAAAAAATTGAATACAAATTCTAATCATACAACCAATTCTAAGTTCTTTGACTACAGTTATTCTGTGTCAGAAACCTATTATGTGTCAAATATTTAATTACAATCCAATTTCAGACCTGTATCAAGCGTGAATATTGTGTCCATTTTCGCCCCAACTGTTCATGGTTGGACCTCTGCAGTTGTATCCAGCTACGGCTGTATCCAGCTGCGCTCTACGAAGCAATTTATTTCAAGGTACTTTGCTATTATCCAAGAAGTGCGCTCTGAAAAGATATCATTCCTTTATGACTTGTAGTTGCTTAGATTCTGTATCTTAATGCATAACTTAACCAGAATTAAATATGTGTAAAATGTAGGTACAGGTGACCTTTTTTTTCAAGGACATCTGTTACTATATCCAAGATGTGCTTACTAAAAGTCACTAATTCCTCTTTGACTCTCAGTTTGTTTCGATCTAGACTTTGACCTATAATGGTTTACTTTTACAAATTGTGACTTGGATAGAGAGATGTCTCATTGGCACTCATACCACTTCTTCTTATATCTATTAAATGCAAAACATGACCGTGACAGATGGCTGAACAAACAGAGTAAACGCTATGTCCACTCCTAAACTCTGTTTGGCGAATGAATGATAAAGAGATGAACTATGAATAAAAATATTAAACTGGGTCTTGAATAGGGTAAACTTTTCTAATAAAAGTTTATATTTTGATATGAGCATCAAATATAACCAAAAAAATATGTTCATCTGAAGCTGTAAAATATGATTATATATTTCTTTTGATAAGGCTGCTGCTAATATTTAGAAGACAAACTGCTTTACGTTATGACAAACACCTACAATAAAATGCTTTAAACTGCATTATTTATGTCTGTTATATACTAAATCATGTAAAAATGCATAATTCTGAAAATCGAAGCCAAATAATGGCTCTATCATGACATATATAAGCGGAAATATGGGGTTTAGCTAAGTCTTATATAAAGACAGCTGACTTTTTTATTCAAAATGTGCTTATGCAATTCAAACTGCATATCGACTATAAAGTGGCACCTAGCTATTGTTGTTCAGTAAGAAATAAACTTGAAGCATATAGTAGACGCATGCATATATGCCATTCTATGTTTCATAATTATACCAAGTCCTCAGGGATGTAAAATGTGCATTTCATTTATAAATAAATAAAATTGTTCATTATTTTGAATTACATTATGCCATGCGTATCTCTTAAGACAAATAGAACTATAATGAATTGCATTCAACTCTAAGTTTCATCCTTTCCTTTGAAAGAACTCCCCAAAATCTATGAAATTATGTCTGTCCAATTTGCAGATAGAAGCAGGTGTTATAGTTTCTCTGATAAAGTTTTCAATCGAATTGCCTAAATTACATGACTTCAATAGCTGTTTCATTTTGATTGCGGGCCATTATCAATTATGACCAGATTCGGCAATTTCCGATAAAATATCAGAAGTTTACCGAATTTGAACCACCACCATCACTATCATCAACTACCATCACTATCACTTATCACCAACTTCATCAACAAAACATGTATAATGTTGTGACCACTGCATATAATGTTCCGACAACTGCATATAATGTTCCGACAACTGCTTATAATGTTGTCACAACTGCATATAATGTTGTGACCACTGCTTATAATGTTCCGACAACTGCATATAATGTTGTCACAACTGCATCTAATGTTGTGACCACTACATATAATGTTGTAACCACTGCATATAATGTTCTGACAACTGCATATAATGTTGTCACGACTGCATATAATGTTGTGACCACTGCATATAATGTTGTGACCACTTCATATAATGTTGTCAAGACTGCATATAATGTTGTCATGACTGCCCCCTCTAAACCAGCCTCTGCATTGTATAAAATAAATTTAAAGATTTCACTAAAAGAACATTTTCCTTTGTAGAAGAAAAGCTTGGTTTTACAGATAAACATGTTATGGGGTTGAACTAGACAAAACAGATAAAGAGAAATTAAAGAAAAATGAGACGTAAAGACAGATTTAAAACTTCAGAAACAGATATTGTTAATGATTCCTTAAAGTGTACATCAGAAGTAGAAACTTGTCCAGATAGGGTAGCTGAAGAACTTGAAGAGTTATTACAAAGAGAGACAATATCACATCAAGAATACCAGAGACTAAGGAAAACAAATAGGTTACCAGATAATTCTGAAGTCACATCAAAAGAGAAAATTGATGAATTTGCAACATTACATGATGGAAATTTATGTTCAACAAGTAATGCAAAGCATTCACAACCATTAAATCCTTTTCCGTATAATGAAAATGGAATCCCTGTTAATTGGACAAGTAATTGTAAACAAAGTATTTATGATATAGTGACATTAAACCCTGGAGAAAAAGAATATGACTACATTTGTGATGAAATGAAAAGTGTTGGCATTCAGATAACTAAAATAGAACGTTTAGAAAATATTCATCTTCTTGACAGATTTAAATCTGAAACGGAACATATCAAAAAGCATCGACAGTTAGGTAAGTAATTTGTTATTACAAACTGAAAGTCACAGTACATCAAGAATGTGAATGCATATTTCATAGTGAACACTGTTTTTGAAAGTTGCAGTATGCAAGACATGGGGATTACTATTCAGTGGCAGCAGCAGCGGCTGTGTGAACTATTTGTATATTTAGTTTTATTTTTCTGAAGGTAGAAAACCTGGATGCTTCATAACTTTATATCTATATTTGGCAACATCTACATGCATATGTCTGTTAGACAGGTCACCTGACCTCAACCTCATTTCATGGTTCAGTGATCAAGGTTAAAGTTACGTGATTAGATCCGTTTCTCATATACTATATGTGGTGTATGGAATGATTGTAATGGGTACAATGTCAATCTGGCAGGTTTCATCTGACCTTGACCTCATTTTCATGGTTCATTGGTCAATGTTAAGTTTTTGTGTTTTGGTCTGTTTTCCAAATACTATATAAGTAATATAGGTCAACTATATTTGGTGTATGGAATGATTATAAGGGGTACATGTCTGTCTGACAGGTATCATCTGACCTTGACTCATTTTCATGGTTCATTGTTCAATGTTAAGTTTCTGTGTTTTGGTCTGTTTTTCAATTACCATAAGCCATAGGTCAACTATATTTGATGTATGGAATAAAGCAGGTGAGACATCTCTGCGTGTGCACTCTAGTTTAACCCTTTCGCTGACAAATCCCGGTTTACTGGGATTCACGCTTTAGACAGCTGGCGATAGTCCCCTTTTACCGGGATTGGCATACCTCTTTTATATTTCCTACTGAAAAATATTGTGAAGACGTTATCTTTCTTTGTTATTGCATGGATGAAAGTATAAACACGGCGCTTCGGTTTGTTGAAAACCGTGTCAAAATCAACTGAAATTTACAGATTTTACTGGAATTTGTAATAACCAATGACCATGCAATCTTGTAAAAATTTTCAAACTTTTTTGTTAAAAATTTATGATTTTTGGTCCAAAAGACCTATTTCTTGAATTTTATGTATTTCAATACTGAAAATTAGCAGATTTGATTTTTTTCTGACAAAAAATTTATTAAACATAAACAAAACTGTGTCCATGGTGTAAGTGAATAAAATAAAGACATAAATAACTACACATAAGTTTTTATCGATATTTAATATGAAGTTCTCCCACTTGTGTCACAAAAGCCAGGGAAGCCATCGTCTCAGAGTAACTTCTGTCAGGGCAGCTATCAGTGAAAGGGTTAATAAATAATTCAGAAATTTCGATTTTGAAAGGGGGAATAACTCATGACCAGGAAAATTTATCTATTTCTGCTATTTTCCATGTAGATCAATTTCTCTTTATCTATAAGACTAGATATTTGTTTTCAGGGTTTAACATGAACATTAAATATTTATACCATGGTACAAAAGTTGACAAGTCGCGTATTTGTGAAGAAGGATTAGATCAAAGGCTGAGTAGAATGGGTTTCTTTGGAAAAGGAATATACTTTAGGTTTGTATGTTTTAACTTATATAGAAATTTTACATCCAATTGGGCAATTAAAGATAGTCTTGATAAATGGAAAAGGACAGGCCTTGGTCAAGAGATATAATTGCAGGATCCGACACTTACAGTTGTCTGATTGTCCGGGGCAAGTTAATGCCGTATTCGGACAAGTAAAAACATCATCTTGGTTGTCCGATCGGGCAAGTGAAAAAAAGTGTTATATGATTAAGATTTCACAAAATCAATAGTGTCTGTTGTTTTGTCCATAGATTACTCAGTGATAACACCGCATGGTCGAGTAAAGTGGTCTTAACCCCCCTTCAATGCGTATATTTCGTCATTTGTTTGCACTGAATTTCCCCATTTTACAATAATAGATCATGTTTAAAAATATTGGCCAATCAGGCGGCCGCGGCGTTGCTTCGTCATTATTGTTATTAATAGGGACACCACTCGGGCGTTTCCGACGCACATGTTATTCCCACCAACCAATGGAAAAAGGAGGTCTAGAATTTGACATTGGATGTGTATTTTCCCTAAGATGGAAAAATGTAAAAGCTTGAAAGAGAAAATGAAATTAAACTTTAACAAATTTGTCAGTTGTTGTCAGTTTATCAAGAAGGGTTTTTTGAAATGGCATTTCTTAGATAAATTATTATGAAATAAGTATCTCTATGTAAATGATCCAATTCCCGTATATTCGTCGATCTTTTCCCTCCCTCTTCGGCTCATATATGCCTCATAGTATCTCAGTGGTCAAGTCTAGTTGATGCCATCATGGCACAACAATCAACACTGGCAAGTTTTTTCACTGGAATTCCTCAAAAAAGGAAATCTGACTCCCAGTCCGAGTCAAAAGCTAAATATGAACAAAAAAGGAAGCCACAAGTGTTCATTGAGTCTTATATGAACAATAAAGGAAGCCACAAGTGTTCATTGAGTCTTGTATGAACAATAAAGGAAGCCACAAGTGTTCATTGAGTCTTGTATGAACAATAAAGGAAGCCACAGATGTTCATTGAGTCTTGTATGAACAATAAAGGAAGCCACAAGTGTTCATTGAGTCTTGTATGAACAATAAAGGAAGCCACAAGTGTTCATTGAGTCTTATATGAACAATAAAGGAAGCCACAAGTGTTCATTGAGTCTTGGAAAAAGGAGTTTGATGGTATTGGTCAAAGTTTGGGCATGTAGATTTCACTTTCGGACAAGTAAAAGTAATAGGGCACTTGCCTAACTGGACAAGTTGGTATAAAAGTTAATGTCGATTCCTGAATTGTTTAATAATTTTAATCTAGTATAAGAAATGACACATTACTTCTCTATAAAGAATGTTATTTGATGAGAAATTTATATCTTCATTTTCATCTGCACTTACTAACATAAACAGTCATTCAAGTACTTTTTTAATGAAATATAATTTCCTGCTTTTACTGGATATTTTTTTCTCTTTTACTGCATTTGTAGACTTTTACTTGACAAAATACTGCAACAGGAGAGAGTATAAAAGACATATTTGTGAAAACATAGATGCTGGTTCCTTTTTTTTGCAATTGGTAGTTTGTTGTTTAATTTTTTGTTATTTTTGTTATTTTTAGTGACAATCCTTTGAAATGTATTCACTATGCAAAAGACAGTCAATATTTAGAAGAGTCATACATACTCAAGTGTAGAGTTATTCTAGGAGAACCTAAGGTTAGTTTACAGATATCCTTGGTTAATCTACGTAATTGTAGAGATATCTTGATGAATCTTACTTTTAAAAGTGTAGAGATATTTTTGGAAAATCTAAGTTAAGTGTAGAGATATCTTTGGAAAATCTAAGTTTAGTGTAGATATATCTTTGGAGAATCAAAGGTAAATGTAAAGATAGAAATGAAGAATTTTAGAGAAGTGAATACATATCCTTGAGGAATCTAAGGTAATTGTAGAAAAATCCCTGAGGAATGTGATTTTAGTGTAGAGATATCCTTGAGCAATCTAAGGTTAGTGTAAAGATGTCCTTGAGGAATCTCAGGTTAGTGTAGAAATATCCTTGAGGAATTGCAGGTTAGTGTAGAAAGATCCTTGAGGAATCTCAGGTTAGTGTAATTTTTTGCATGTAGAGAAATCCTTAAGCAATTTAAGGGTTAGTGTAAAAATATCCTTTAGGAATCTTAGGTTAGTGAAGAAATATCCTTGAGGAATTTAAGGTTAGTGTAGAGATATCCTTTAGGAATTTCAGGTTAGTGTAGATATATCCTTGGTGAATCTAAGGTTAGTGTAAAGATATCCTTTAGGAATCTAAGGTAAGTGTAGAGATATTCTTAAAGAATCTAAGGTTAGTGAAGAGTTTTGTTCTTTCCTGGACCTTATAACACCATTGTACCTTGGAGAAAAAAGAAGTGCACCACCAAATTTTTAATAATTAATGTATTTTACATGCATATGTTTATCAAAAAAAAAGAAAAAAACAAAATTTTTTTTAATGGATGTAAAAGTCAGTTTGCTAATCAGTTTCTTGGCATTTGATCAACCTTCCTAGAAAATGACTAATCTCAAACTACAAAAATCATTTTTTAGAACCAATTTATTTCAAAAAGATGCTTAATACGTTTTTTACTGATTACATCCAGGAAATTGTAAAAACCATACACCAGAAAGGAGTGATACATTCATGTGTTGTTGAGTATATTATCATTTCCATTATCACATGACCCATTAATGAAGGGAGATTTGAGATAACATCAGTGAGACAGCAACCCTAAGACACAATAAAACCGAGAGGGCAACATACATGCATGTCTCAATAAAACCAAGAGGGCAATACACATGCATGTCTCATTAAAACCAAGAGGGCACCATAGATGTATGTCTCATCATTTTTGTATTGTTTTAACAGCATTTTCCAAAAGGAGAATATGATACAAGTTTACAGAGGGAGCCAGAGAAACCTAATGTAGAGGCAGGATGGAGGTTTTATGATTCTGTGATGGTAAGAAATCCTTTGTGTACCTCTTACATATGAATTATTAAAGCCATTTTGTTCTTTAAAAATAACTACCGGGGTATTTGCTTATTTTTGATTTATATGTATAAAAAAAAATACCATTGATTCCTGTTTTTTTATTTACAAAATGATAGTTATTTTTAGACTCTTTCATGTGAAAAGATTTTGTGAAAATGCAGAAAAATATGATAAAAAATGGACACAAAAACAATGATTTATATATTACAGGGATGCCCTAGAGACTACAATGAGTTTGTAGTATATGAGAATAGGAGAGCTATGATAGAGTATATTATATCATTTCAACTAGATCCAAGAGGAGACCAAGAACTGAGAACACGTTTACCTAGTCCTTTCAACTGCAGTAAGTCTAACATTACAGTTAATATATCACTGTTTTAGAGCATATACACAGAACAAATGTGAACAAGAATATCTTACAATTTAAATTTATAGGATTTTAACATGAAAACATTGCTTCAGTCAGGCCAGCCTGGTCAATTGCAAAATTTCTTGCTTATATGGAACAGCCATATGTAACTGATGTTTCATCAGAACTTGACCAGTAGCGGAGGGGGCATTAATTTTTACCCTTGTCCATACGTCTGTACGTCTGTAAGTCTGTAAGTCCCAAAATTGGTTTCCATTCTCTAACTTTAGTTTACCTCTACCAAATGTTATGAAACTTATACACAATGCTTATTACCACAAAACACAGATCAAGTTTGAATTTGGGTGGTGTCACTTTTACCTTTCAAGAGTTACACCCCTTTACAAATGTAAAAATTGCAAAATTTTTCGTTTCCGTTCTCTCACTTAAGTTTGCCTCAACCAAATGTTATGAAACTTATACACAATGCTTATAACCACAAAATACACATCAAGTTTGAATTTTGGTGGCATCACTTATACCGTTCTAGAGTTATGTCCCTTTACAAATGGAAAAACTGCTGAATTTTATAATGTTATATGCAAGCGAGGGCATCATCTGTATCCCATGGACACATTCCCAATTTTTTTCCCTCATTATGTCAAATGAAACTTGCAAACCAGCTTTATAAATAAAAGGAAGCAATGACATGTACCACCAAAGATTGCCACTGTTGATAATTAAAGAGGCATTAGCTGTCAAATTTATGTTCACTATTTTGACCCAAATTCTCATATTTGATTTATAACATACTGAAACGTATATTCAAATTACAAAAAAGTACAAAAGAAACAATTAACAATGCATGGACTCATTATAATATATCAGCAGACTAGACGTCATCTAATTATCCATCTAGATTACCTTCAGAGAATGCCGTTGGTCATTTAAGGAGGCTCGCGGGTACAAAAATTTCAGCAAAATTTCAAACATTTGTTTTTCGATTACAAATTTTATTTATTACACAATTCGTTCTAACTTTATGATATGGTACAAAAATCAACAAAAAAAAATCGATTCGTTTTGGCCCCAGATGACTTTTAAGATGTTTATATCATTGAACAAGATCCAAATTATCTCCCTTTGGTGCAAATATGCCGTTTTTTTTGCATTAAAATTGAAATATCTTTTTAATTCATCGGTGACCTATATTTTTTACTATTTTTTTCAAATAAGCTGTACTTAAACTAACAATTGTAAAATTTTAACAATTTCTGTAATTAAGTTCTTTTTTTATTTCGATATTACCTCTATTTCTCCTATTAGTCCAACAGAAAAAAAGTACAGTAACAAAAATGCATGCTTCTTTCGGTGGCAGATTGTGAGCTTAAATGAACGGTGACCAAATTTCTTATTTTATTTTTTTTATTTTTCTATTATGTATATGATAAAGTTTATTTATATAAATAAATAGCAAAATCCTATATTTAAAAAAAATGGATTTATACCCTCGAGCCCCCTTAACCAGATATAAACATGCATATAAATATAAATAAACAATCAGACACGAGCAGTCATATAATGATGATTTTTGTAGGTCTGTTTGATTCATGTTATAGATTAAAAATATATTATATCATCATTTTACCTGTATTAGAATATAAGAAAGATTTTTTTTATTCCTGGTGGCTCCCTGGTTTTAATTTTCAATATTGAAATACTTTTCTTTTAATGAATAAACCGCATACTGAACACATGCGCAACCCATTTCATTAATGGTCAAATTAAAGGTTGCATGAATACAGATTCAAATGAGTTGAATTATTGACTTGCAATATCAGATTTTAAATATCACAACACTTAAATTTATTGAATCCAAATAGTTTTACACAGGTATAGAACTTTATTAAGTTTGATGGTTAACATGATCATTAGATGCAGACAAATTTATACAGATTATTGAAAATGTCTTTACAAAAGTCAAATTTTGTTTTTTTCCAGATTCTGGGACTGTGACAGATGATACACATGGTGATAAGATAGAAGAAATAAGGGAGACAATTAGAAGGAAACGTTGTATAGAGAAAGGAGAAGAATATGTTCCCCCAGACGAAGTAAATACAGAAAGTTTAGATTTAAGTTAACTTTATCATGCAATGACATGATTTTATATATTTGAAGTAATAAATTTTGATATTGGACCATTTTGTCAATTTCTTTTTAATAATATATGCAAAAATTTAAATTTGGATGTAACAAATCTTCTGATTGGCTGAAAGTTTTTTGTCTATCAGCTCATAGACATAATTTTGTCATGTGACCGTGATGTCATCAACGCTTTTTCATGATTTACGCCTTAAAAATGGATTTTAGAATTAAATTCTAAGGAATGACTGTAACATTTTTCTGTCTATTCGAAATAACCTCAAAAATGTGGTGCACACTTTTAAATAATCCGCTACGCTACCACATTTTTAACTCACCGGGGCCCGAAGGGCCCTATGTGAGCTTATGCCATCACTTGGCGTCCGTCGTTGTCCGTGGTCGTCTGTCGTCATAAACTATTTCAAAAATCTTCTCCTCTGAAACTACTGGGCCAAATACCTTCAAACTTTAACTAAATGTTCCTTAGGGTATCTAGTTTATAAATTGTATCCGAAGTTTTGATCCATAGACAAACATGGCCACCATGGCTAAAAATAGAACATAGGGGTCAAATGCAGTTTTTGGCTTATATCTTAAAAACTAAAGCTTTTAGAGCATATCTGACAAGGGGTGCAATTGTTCAATTGGTCAAGATCTATCAGCCCTGAAATTTTCAGACGAATCGAACAACCCATTGTTGGGTTGCTGCCACTAAATTGGTAGTTTTAAGGAAATTTTGCAGTTTTTTGTTATCTTGAATATTATTATAGATAGATATAAATTGTAAACAACAATAATGTTCAGCAAAGTAATATCTACAAAAAAGTTAATAAGACCATAATTGTCAATTGACCCCTTAAGGAGTTATTGCCCTTTAAAGACAATTTTACACAATTTGTTCATCAAGTTTGCTAACATTTAAAAATCTTCTCCTCTGAAACTACTAGGCCAATTACCTTCAAACTTTAAATAAATGTTCCTTAGGGTATCTTGTTTATAATATATATCCGAAGTTTTGATCCATTGACAAACATGGCCGCCATGGCTAAAAATAGAACATAAGGGTCAAATGCAGTTTTTGGCTTATATCTCAAAAACTAAAGCTTTTAGAGCAAATCTGACATGGGGTTATATTGTTCAATTGGTCAAGATCTTATTATCAGACGAATCGAACACCCCATTGTTGGGTTTCTGCCACCAAATTGATAGTTTTAACAAAATTTTGCAGTTTTTATGCCCCCGCCGTAGCGGAGGGGGCATTAAGTTTTACCCTTGTCCGTCTGTACGTACGTACGTCCGGCTGTACGTCCCGAAATTGGTTTCCGTTCTCTAACTTGAGTTTGCCTCAACCAAATGTTATGAAACTTATACACAATGCTTATTACCACAAAACACAGATCAAGTTTGAATTTTGGTGGCGTCACTTTAACCGATCTAGAGTTATGCCCCTTTATAAAAGGAAATATTGCAAAATTTTTAGTTTCCGTTCTCTAACTTAAGTTTGCCTCAACCAAATGTTATGAAACTTATACACAATGCTTATTACCACAAAACACAGATCAAGTTTGAATTTTGGTGGTGTCACTTTTACCGATCTAGAGTTATGCCCCTTTATAAAAGGAAATATTGCAAAATTTTTAGTTTCCGTTCTCTAACTTAAGTTTGCCTCAACCAAATGTTATGAAACTTATACACAATGCTTATTACCACAAAACACAGATCAAGTTTGAATTTTGGTGGTGTCACTTTTACCGATCTAGAGTTATGCCCCTTTATAAAAGGAATAATTGCAAAATTTTTATTTTCTTCTAAATATCAAGTTTATATAATATATTTTTAAAATTGGAGTTATCTTCCTTTGACCATGATTATAGTTGGATCAACTACAATCAATGCTTTATACAATGCAATGTTTAATTTTGACTTCCACTGATAAAACACAGATCAAGTTGAATTTGGGTAGTGTCACTTTAACCATTATTGAGTTATGCCCCTTTATAAATAGAAAGATTGCAAATTTTTTTAGTTTCCATTCTGTAACTGAAGTTTTCCCCAGCCAAACATTATGAAACCTATACACAATATTCATTACCACAAAACTCAGTAAGGATCAAGTACAATTTTTTGTTTCAGTTCTCTAACTTGAGTTTGCCTCAACCAAATGTTATGAAACTTATACACAATGCTTATTACTACATAATACAGATAAAAAGTAGGTGGCAACACTTTTACCATTCTAGAGTTATGTCCCTTTATAAACATAAAAATTGCTGAATTTTTTAGTTTGTCTCAACCAAATGTTGTAAAACTTAAACACAACTGTTCTAGAGTTATGGGTGTTTACAAATAGAAAAATTGCTGAATTTTTAGTTTCTGTTCTCTACTTAAGTTAGCCTCAACCAAATGTTATGAGACTTACACACAATGCTTATTACCACAAAACTCAGATCAATTTCAAATTTGGGTAGCGTCACTTTTATCATTCTTCAGTTAAGTCTCTTTATAACTATATGATATGCAAGCGGGGGCATCATCTGTGTCCACATGTGGACACTATCCACATTTATTTGTTATTATCTTGAATATTATTATAGATAGATATAAACTGTAAGCTGCAATAATGTTCAGCAAAGTAAGATCTACAAAAAAGTTAATCTGACCAAAATTGTCAATTGACCCCTTAAGGAGTTATTACCCTTTAAAGACAATTTTACACAATTTGTTCATCAAGTTTGCTAACATTTAAAAATCTTCTCTTCTGAAATACAGGAGAGCGATTCAGGCTCTTGAGAGCCTCTTGTTTAGGTTATTTCTGCATAGACAGAAAAAATATTACAGTCATTCCTTAACAAATGAGTGCCAGATTAATTAAGAGACATTAGAAAATTGTAGTTCTGGTTCATACAACTATTTGTCCATCCCCTTCTATTTGCATAATTCTATGGGCACATCATTTTTGGATATCATTATTTGTATTTTTTCATATTTTTAGGAAAAGAAGAAAAGGGACAGAGATCTATATCTTCGATTACAACAACTTCATAAAGGAAGTCATGACTCAAAGGTATGTATTGTGATACCTTATTATTGAAACAGTTTATTTAACCTTTGAATTGGCATATGAAAATTTGTACCAGAAAATGTTTGCAAAATTGTTTCTGTTTACAGAAGCTTCTATTTTATAGTATTTTCTGTTTTTGGGGGCAGTGATTTTTACTTTTTGAATTACCTTGGAAATTAATATATCATTATGTTTTAATGTGAAGTAACATAAAATATCCATTAAGATTAAGTTTTCTGTCAGAGTTAGTCTACATACTAGTGGTAAATCTTGAGGGATAGTTCTTTTTTTAAAAGGACATCATCCCCTAAAAACAACATTTATATGCTATCCCCACCAACAAATCATCAGCTTTGTCCTTACAACTTATAGCCAGTCACCAGTCAAATGCAACAACAATAAATTTATTAGTTTGTATAATTTCAGGGTGATTTCAAGGAACCCATAGAGGTAAATGAAGAGAAAACTGATAGCGTACAATCAAATAAAGGTAAATATTGTCAATATAGAAATGTCAAAAAATGTTGACTTGGACTGTTGATCCCCCAGTATATTTCTCTTACCTTCTAATATAGTTTAGTTTTCTTTCTATTTCTGTCAGTTGCAGAAAAGTTGTTATCTGGAATTTGAGTACTGTAAACAATTAAAACATTAAATGAGTTCATTTTCTTCATATGCCTAGTTATGAATCACCAGATAAGCTGATAACTTTTTGGCAGGTCTTCTTTATATATAAATAAGAATTTTTTTTTTATATAATTTAAGTAAAGGCTGTGTGACTAAAGTGCCTCCTACAGTATTTTATATATGATTGTAGCAAAGCTAATGTGTGTTTTATTTAGAGGGAGATAATGTGCTCATATGTATAGAAATAACCATTTGTTTTTTGTTTTGGAAGCTAAATAATTCATGAATTATTGCATATATATTAAAAATGTATTATTCCTCATTTTATATAGTTTGAATAGACTTGACACAGTTTTTATCACCATATGTAGTTTGACCTTTCAACTTTTAGTAACAATAATGTGTAATATTCAGGCTATTAATATAAACATATGTTTGGGGGAGGGTTTGGCTTAGGCAAACATGTTCAACCCCGCCATATTCTGTATGTACCTGTCCCAAGTCAGGAGCCTGTAATTCAGTGGTTGTCGTTTGTTACTGTATATCATATTTGTTTTTCATTTATTGTTCTGAACATGAAACAAGCCGTAAGTTTTCTTGTTTAAATTGTTTAACATTTTTCATTTCTGGGCTTACTGTGCAGTTTAGTTTTGCTCATTGTTGAAGGCTGTACGGTGACCTATAGTTGTTAACTTTGATATGATTTGGTCTTTGGTGGAGAGTTGTCTCATTGGCAATCATAGTACCATATCTTATTTTTAGCTCACCGGACCCAAAGGGTCAAGTGAGCTTTTCTCATCACTTGGCGTCCGTCGTCGTCGTTGTTAACTTTTAAAAAGATGTTCTCCTCTGAAACCACTGGGCCAAATTAAACCAAACTTGGCCTAAATCATCCTTATAGTATCTTGTTAAAAAAAAATGTATCTGATGACCCCCCCCCCCCCCCCCCCCCACCACCAATCATCATGGCCGCCATGGCTAAAAATAGAACATAGGGGTAAAATGCAGTTTTTGGCTTATATCTCTGAAACTAAAGCATTTAGAGCAAAATGTTCATCAGGTCAAGATCTATCTGCCCTGGAATTTTCAGACGAATCAGACAACCTGTTGTTGGGTTGCTACCCCTAAATTGGTAATTTTAAGGAAATTTTGCAGTTTATGGTTATTATCTTGAATATTATAAATGATAGAGATAAACTGTAAACAGCAAAAATGTTCAGCAAAGTAAGATCTACAAATAAGTAAACATGACCAAAATAACAATTGACCCCTTAAGGAGTTATTGCCCTTTAAAGTCAATTTCTCACAATTTTTTGTAAATTATTGTAATCTTTTCCAAAAATCTTCTCCTGAAATTACTGGGCCAAGTTAAACCATACTTGCCTAAATCATCCTTAGAGTATGTTGTTTAAAAAATGTATCTGATGACCGTGCCCACCTACCAAGATGACCACCATGGCTAAAAATTGAACATAGAGGTAAAATGCATTTTTTGGCTTATATTTCTGAAACAAAAGCATTTAGAGCAAATTAACATGACCAAAATTGTCAATTGACCCCTTAAGGAGTTATTGCCCTTTAAAGTCAATTTTTCACTATTTTTCGTAATTTTTTTTAATCTTTTACAAAAAATCTTCTCCTCTTAATCTACTTGGCCAAATGGAATTAAACTTAGCCACAATTATTATTAGAGTATTTTAATTGAAAAATGCCCCTGGCCCTGCCCTACAATCAAGATGGTCCCCATTGGTAAAAATAGAACATAGGGGTTTACTGTAGAAGTCTATGGGAAAAATGTAAAAAAACAATTTGAAATGGTCACAACTTGAAAACTAATTTAAATAATGATAAGGGGTCTTCAGTTACTATTGTAAGACTACAATGGGATGACTTGAATTTTTTTCCAGGGGGTGCAATTTTTTCAGTGGGAGTGCTAATAATTTCTCCTTGATATGTTCCATTTTCAGAATTATTCAGTGTTACTTTTTCTATAAACCATTATTATATCTTTTCTTTGAGGATACTTATATTGGGTGAATGCCCCCCAGACCCCGCAAGTTAGTCGGGGTCAGGAGAACCCCTGCCCAAATTTTTTTTGAAGGGTGTTCCATAAAAACATTTAAAGGCATTTTCAGAATTATACAGGCCCTGGGTGAAATAAATTTTGGAGCGGAGGAAAGGAAATATTTTATTTTTTGTTAATTATCTTGAATATCATTATAGATTGAGATATACTGTAAACAGCAAAAATATGAAGCAAAGAAAGATCTACAAATAAGTTAACATGACCAATTGGCAATTGACATCTTATTGGAGTTATTGTCCTTTAAAGTTATTTTCTGCAATTTATTGGTAATTTTTGTAAATCTTTTCAAAAATCTTCTGCTTTTAATTTAACTTCTGGGCCAAATTAAACCAAACTTGGCCTCAATCATTATTAGGGTATCTATATGATTTTAACCTTATTTTACATGATTTCCAAATCCACAGTAGATACAGGTGAGCGACACAGGCTCTTGAGAACCTCTAGTTATATATGAAGATCATAAGAGCAAATTCAGTTTATCTTGTATTTGAATGAAATCTGGCATATATGTATTACAACGGACATAAAAAAAGTAGATTTTGATGCTATTTTGACTTGTTATAAATCAGGGTATATTTATAGATTGAATTTTTAGACATAGGACATATATTTTGACCCATTTTTTTTTATTGTTGACAAAAACAAACAATGATTTAAGTTCAGTTCTAGACTTCTGCATTATATTTTTTCATTATATGTCAGTTGCAACAGAAGAAGGCTGAGAAATAAGACAAATGCTTGTGCCAATGGGTACCTGTATAAAAACAACAAACACCAGTGGCTATCAATTTTGTAAAGATTTGAATACCTGTTATATAGTTTATTGACTTTTAAAGTAACTGGAGGATTTGATATAATATTTTTTATAACAATATTGGGCCAAAATTAATGACAGCTATTGATGTAGGAATACATGGGGAACTATAAGTAAAAAAAATCATTTAAAAAATAGTCCCAAGACTTTTTTGAGGTCAATGTTTTCTGAGGCCTGGGTACTTGTTTTGTAACCAGTCGTCAATACAGATGTTGAATGATAATATCATTGTATCAATACATACACATTGAAGCAATGTTTTATTTGATTGTAGATTGTATAGATCCTATAGAAGAAGTCATTGATTCTTTAGTAACAGACTTTCTAGTTGTGACAGCTACAGACAATATAGAAGCAGCTAAATATTATATAGAGAGATCACAAATGGATGTAGATAAAGCTATAACTATGTATTATGAAGAAATGTTGTGATAGCAAAATCATCAACAATATGTATTTATATTGCTATTTTTACAAATATAGTACACCAAGCAACACAATAACTGATCATTTATTTGCAAGAACTAATATGAATTTGTACCACTTTGATTGTCTATTTGTTCAATTTATATGCTGCAAAACACATATGAAGAAATTTAGAAGAAGAAAAAAAAAGAATGATGAAACAGAAGCAGGATGAATTGAGTTTTTACTCAATTTTCACTTAAAAAAAACAAAAGTTAAAAATTGTAAAGAATAAAAATGTTAATAAAAGAACTGACAAATAATTCCATTGACATCTGCATTCTTCATTCATGAAACATGTTATGGTGCCATTGAAATCAAAGAACCAGTGGGATACAGTGTCCAAACATCTCATTATTCCCCATTAAAACAGGAAATAATTTAAATTTGGAGGTAAATATTTTGAAATAAAGAATGGTTGGGACAAAACATTGTTACTTTAGTGATTAAGGTTTTCCTTTGCGACTGAGACCACTGCTGTGACCATGCATGTATAGTAACACAGCTGTGACCATGCATGTATAGTAACACTGCTGTGACCATGCATGTATAGTAACACCACTGTGACCATGCATGTATAGTAACACTGCTGTGACCATGCATGTATAGTAACACCACTGTGACCATGCATGTATAGTAACACAGCTGTGACCATGCATGTATAGTAACACCACTGTGACCATGCATGTATAGTAACATAGCTGTGACCATGCATGTATAGTAACACCACTGTGATCATGCATGTATAGTAACACTGCTGTGACCATGCAAGTAAAGTAACACCGATGTGACCATGCATGTATAGTAACACCACTGTGACCATGCATGTATAGTAACATAGCTGTGACCATGCATGTATAGTAACATAGCTGTGACCATGCATGTATAGTAACACTGCTGTGACCATGCATGTATAGTAACATAGCTGTGACCATGCATGTATAGTAACACCACTGTGACCATGCATGTATAGTAACACTGCTGTGACCATGCATGTATAGTAACACTGCTGTGACCATGCATGTATAGTAACATAGCTGTGACCATGCATGTATAGTAACACCACTGTGACCATGCATGTATAGTAACATAGCTGTGACCATGCATGTATAGTAACACTGCTGTGACCATGCATGTATAGTAACATAGCTGTGACCATGCATGTATAGTAACATAGCTGTGACCATGCATGTATAGTAACATAGCTGTGACCATGCATGTATAGTAACACTGCTGTGACCATGCATGTATAGTAACACCACTGTGACCATGCATGTATAGTAACACAGCTGTGACCATGCATGTATAGTAACACTGCTGTGACCATGCATGTATAGTAACACCCATGTGACCATGCATATATAGTAACACAGCTGTGACCATGCATGTTATGTAACACCGCTGTGACCATGCATGTTTAGTAACACAGCTGTGACCATGCATGTATAGTAACACTGCTGTGACCATGCATGTATAGTAACATAGCTGTGACCATGCATGAATAGTAACACTACTGTGACCATGCATGTATAGTAACACCACTGTGACCATGCATGTATAGTAACACTGCTGTGACCATGCATGTATAGTAACATAGCTGTGACCATGCATGTATAGTAACACTGCTGTGACCATGCATGTATAGTAACACTGCTGTGACCATGCATGTATAGTAACACTGCTGTGACCATGCATGTATAGTAACATAGCTGTGACCATGCATGTATAGTAACACTGCTGTGACCATGCATGTATAGTAACACTGCTGTGACCATGCATGTATAGTAACACTGCTGTGACCATGCATGTATAGTAACACTGCTGTGACCATGCATGTATAGTAACACTGCTGTGACCATGCATGTTTAGTAACACCCCTGTGACCATGCATGTATAGTAACATAGCTGTGACCATGCATGTATAGTAACACTGCTGTGACCATGCATGTATAGTAACATAGCTGTGACCATGCATGTATAGTCACATAGCTGTGACCATGCATGTATAGTAACACTGCTGTGACCATGCATATTTAGTAACACCACTGTGACCATGCATGTATAGTAACACAGCTGTGACCATGCATATGTAGTAACACAGCTGTGACCATGCAAGTTATGTAACACCGCTGTGACCATGCATGTATAGTAACACTGCTGTGACCATGCATGTATAGTAACACCACTGTGACCATGCATGTATAGTAAGACTGCTGTGACCATGCATGTATAGTAACACTGCTGTGACCATGCATGTATAGTAACATAGCTGTGACCATGCATGTATAGTAACACTGCTGTGACCATGCATGTATAGTAACACTGCTGTGACCATGCATGTATAGTAACACCACTGTGACCATGCATGAATAGTAACACTGCTGTGACCATGCATGTATAGTAACACCACTGTGACCATGCATGTATAGTAACACCACTGTGACCATGCATGTATAGTAAGACTGCTGTGACCATGCATGTATAGTAACACTGCTGTGACCATGCATGTATAGTAACACTGCTGTGACCATGCATGTATAGTAACACCACTGTGACCATGCATGTATAGTAACACCACTGTGACCATGCATGAATAGTAACACTGCTGTGACCATGCATGTATAGTAACACCACTGTGACCATGCATGTATAGTAACACCACTGTGACCATGCATGTATAGTCACATAGCTGTGACCATGCATGTATAGTAACACCACAGTGACCATGCATGTATAGTAACACCACAGTGACCATGCATGTATAGTAACACCACTGTGACCATGCATGTATAGTAACACCACTGTGACCATGCATGTATAGTAACACCACTGTGACCATGCATGTATAGTAACACTGCTGTGACCATGCATGTATAGTAACACAGCTGTGACCATGCATGTATAGTAACACAGCTGTGACCATGCATGTATAGTAACACCACTGTGACCATGCATGTATAGTAACACCACTGTGACCATGCATGTTATGTAACACTGCTGTGACCATGCATGTATAGTAACACCACTGTGACCATGCATGTATAGTAACACAGCTGTGACCATGCATGTATAGTAACACTGCTGTGACCATGCATGTATAGTAACACAGCTGTGACCATGCATGTATAGTAACACCACTGTGACCATGCATGTATAGTAACACCACTGTGACCATGCATGTTATGTAACACTGCTGTGACCATGCATGTTTAGTAACATAGCTGTGACCATGCATGTAATGTAACACTGCTGTGACCATGCATTTCTATGTTGCGATGTTATACTATTGTTTCAGAAAAGGGAGAAGGTTTGGTACCATTAAAACGTTTAATCCCACTGCAAATTTTTGCACCTGTCCTAAGTCAGGAGTCTGATTACAGTAGTTGTCGTCTGTTTATGTAGTTCATACGTGTTTCTCGTTTCTCGTTTTTATATGTATTAGACCGTTGGTTTTTCCGTTTGAATGTTTTAACACTAGTTATTTTTTGGGGCCCATTATAGCTTGCTGTTCAGTGTAAGCCAATGCTCCATGTTGAAGGCCGTACCTTGACCTATAATGGTTTACTTTTATAAATTGTAACTTGAATGGAGAGTTGTCTCATTGGCACTCATACCACATCTTCCTATATCTATGTATAGTAACACCCCTGTGACCATGCATGTAAAGTAACACCGCTGTGACCATGCATGTATAGTAACACTGCTGTGACCATGCTTGTCTAGTAACACCCCAGTGACCATGCATGTATAGTAACACCATTGTGACCATGCATGTATAGTAACACCCCTGTGACCATGTATGTATGGTAACACAGCTGTAACCATGCATGTAATGTAACACCATTGTGACCATGCATGTAATGTAACACCATTGTGACCATGCATGTATAATAACACTGCTGTGACCATGCTTGTCTAGTAACACCCCTGTGACCATGTATGTATAGTAAGACAGCTGTGACCATGCATGTATAGTGACACCGCTATGACCATGCATGTAATGTAACACCGCTGTGACCATGCATGTATAGTAACACAGCTGTGACCATGCATGTATAGTAACACCGCTGTGACCATGCATTTATAGTAACACCACTGTGACCATGCATGTAATGTAACACCGCTGTGACCATGCATGAATAGTAACACTGCTGTGACCATGCATGTATAGTAACACCACTGTGACCATGCATGTTTAGTAACACTGCTGTGACCATGCATGTATAGTAACACCACTGTGACCATGCATGTTATGTAACACCGCTGTGACCATGCATGTTTAGTAACACAGCTGTGACCATGCATGTATAGTAACACCGCTGTGACCATGCATTTATAGTAACACCACTGTGACCATGCATGTAATGTAACACCGCTGTGACCATGCATGAATAGTAACACTGCTGTGACCATGCATGTATAGTAACAACACTGTGACCATGCATGTATAGTAACACTGCTGTGACCATGCATGTATAGTAACACCACTGTGACCATGCATGTTATGTAACACCGCTGTGACCATGCATGTTTAGTAACACAGCTGTGACCATGCATGTATAGTAACACCACTGTGACCATGCATGTATAGTAACACCCATGTGACCATGCATGTATAGTAACACAGCTGTGACCATGCATGTATAGTAACACCCATGTGACCATGCATGTATAGTAACACAGCTGTGACCATGCATGTTTAGTAACACCCCTGTGACCATGCATGTATAGTAAAACACCCATGTGACCATGCATGTATAGTAACACCACTGTGACCATGCATGTTATGTAACACCGCTGTGACCATGCATGTTTAGTAACACAGCTGTGACCATGCATGTATAGTAACACCACTGTGACCATGCATGTATAGTAACACCCATGTGACCATGCATGTATAGTAACACAGCTGTGACCATGCATGTTTAGTAACACAGCTGTGACCATGAATGTATAGTAACACCGCTGTGACCATGCATGTATAGTAACACAATTATGACCACTGTGGGTATGCTGTTTCAAATCCATGAAATGAAACAGTTTTCTTCAAGTTGGAACTCACAATTCCAATTTTTGTGTTCTTAGGTTGTGCATTGGATTTTTATATTGGTCTATAAAGCAGAGAAATATAACACAATTGTATTATATGTCTCTAGTCTAAGCATGGTGAGCAATTGGCGACTTTTATATAAAATTTAGGAGATGTGGTATGATTGAAAATGAAACAACTGTTCAACAGAGTCCACATGATGTGGATTTAAGCAATTATAGATTTACTTATTCTAGATTCAGATAAAAAGGTCACAGGAAATTAGAAAAAAGTAAATATAGTATATTAATAAAAATTTTTGAATATAATTACTGTTTAATAGATTTTTTCTTAAGACAAAGACAGAAACATACACATGTTCCAACAGATGTTATGACATTGTTTAAAACAAAATTTCCAGGGAACTTTTGTAAAGCGGAACAAATATACGTTGACAACTAATTAACCCTAGATCGAATAACCAACTGATTAACGAACATCAAGGGAGTTAATTGGGCTGTAAACATGTTACTGAAAGAAAACGGTTACATCTAAAAAAAAAATGCTACAAATGTAATTTGAATGATAGAATAAATTATTATGAAAACAAAAAACAAATGGGGTACGCAGTTGTATTAGCATTGGCACATCCCCGCGGCATTTCCATGGAGATTGTTTGGCCCTGTACCTTCAGTCATGGTTCATTAAGTTTGAATATTATGCATGATCATGCATAACCTGAGACTACTATAACACGGTGTTATATTAGTCTCGGGCATAACTTACATATAAAAGTATTGCAATTTTAATTTCAACTTTTGCAATTTTGAAACATCATCTTGCATATGTTTCATTAATCATTGTGACAGCAAGTTAAAAATCCGACTCAGCGAGACGGGCTAATATAAAGCAAATACTCGAGAAATAACAGTTATCCAACATCATCAATAATATTTTTAAGAATTTTTCCTTTTTTTCCCCCGAAAAGTAACGTTGAAATGACAGTCCCTGAGATAACTGCAAATGTTCTTGTGAAATTGACAAAGCAGGATCAATTTCCCGTTTATTTGTTTCACTCACAGGATGACGATTTGTCGATGTTTTTTAACAAAAACAGTTAATCAAAACTTTCCGTTTCTGTCAAATCCATTAATTATAGGATATGTGATATGCTAAATATCAGGTACGCATCCAGGATTTGATGTTATGAGAGCGCTCCTGGGAATATGCTGAGGACCTTATTTCGACACAAAATTGGCCGTAATTTTACATTTTACATTTTTTTGCGTTTTAAGGGGTAAATCCGCCCTTCAATATGGAAGATAAAAGTAAGAAGAACAGGGAATTGATTTGTAACTCTGATATATGATGATGTTATAGCAAAACAAAACTTCCTTCAATTATAGCCCTGACGACCTTTGCCCAGCTTATAGAAATCAAGTCATCTGTCTGTTGATCGTTAACAACTCATGCCATCTTTTTTTCTTGAATACCTCTAGTAGTAAAATGATGATATTTTACATCATTGTTAATCCCTTCTTGGATTTAATTCTCTCCGTAAGTTAAAGTCCACTTTACACCTCAAAAAGTGGGAAGAGTTCATTGTTGATATGTTAAAGCCTCTATAGTGGTTAAATTGTGTTCACTTTACATCTCAAAAAGTGGCAACTGTTGATATGTTTCAGCCTCTATAGTGGTTAAATTGTGTCCACTTAACATCTCAAATAGTAGTAAGAGTTCATTGTTGATATGTTACAGCCTCTATAGTGGTTAAATTGTGTCCACTTTACATCTCAGATAGTAGTAAGAGTTCATTGTTGATATGTTACAGCCTCTATATAGGTTAAATTGTGTCCACTTAACATCTCAAATAGTGGTAAAAGTTCATTGTTGATATGTTACAGCCTCTATATAGGTTAAATTGTGTCCACTTAACATCTCAAATAGTGGTAAAAGTTCATTGTTGATATGTTACAGCCTCTATATAGGGTAAATTGTGTCCACTTTACATCTCAAATAGTGGTAAGAGTTCATTGTTGATATGTTACAGCCTCTATATAGGTTAAATTGTGTCCACTTAACATCTCAAATAGTGGTAAGAGTTCATTGTTGATATGTTACAGCCTCTATATAGGGTAAATTGTGTCCACTTTACAGCTCAAATAAGAGTAAGAGTTCATTGTTGATATGTTACAGCTGTACTGCTAATACGGTTTGAATCTGTAGTTGGATTGTCAAGGTTAAAATCTTAATCATGGGTTTATGCTAAGCTTTCCGTCGAAATCGTGTAATTTAAAGGAGATACTAATAGTATGTCAAATAGAATTTTGTTTTATACGTCTCTCTTTCGCTTTAATGTAAATTAAGTAAAAGTATTACGTTACATGGAACCGCCGACGGAAAATACTGATGAAAAAAGAGTCCCCAATCACGGATTTTACATCCTAACTTTTAAACCGCCTCGTTTGTTTCGTGGTAGCGTGCTCGCCTCGATCGCGAGAGGCCTTATATTTGATCCACGGCCGGGTCAAGTCAAAGAATTTGCTGTTCCTCTCCTAAGAACGTGGCGTTAATTAAGGATAAGAACAACGACTGGTCGGCTCGGAATCATATAAAAATGTGTCCGTGTGTGACATGTCTTTCTGTAAAATATTGCCTTGTGAACTAGCACGTTAAAAATCCGACTCAGTACAAAGCATGGTTCATATTTATATTTCATTAGCATGTTCTCGTCATGAATAAGCATTTTATTTGCCACTGTACATTATAAACAGCCTTCCAGCATTATCTTCAAAATTTTAACTATTATTGTAAATTAAAAATCATAAACAAATTCATTTGAATTACCAAGTTATTATACCCCACACAACAAAGTAAATAAGTTTAATGTTATTGACCAGTCAGTCCGTTTGTCCATCAGTCATGTTCTTTTCATCGCAACTCCTCCGAAACCATACAACAGAATTTCAGGAAACTTTGTAGATAATTAGAACATATATTATGTAGTTTTATCAGTTGACTTTTGTAGGAGTTATGAGTCTTTGAAGCATGCTCATAAAGGTTCTTTAATGGACATTATTTTCATATTGGTCAAATGTTTTTTTTAACTTCGACCTAGCCTTGGAGAAGACATTTTCGAAGAAAGAACTAACATAACACAAACGTGTATTTCTAGCTCATCTAGCCCCAAGCGTCATGCCAGGTATTGTCATTACTTAAACCATAAGTTATCTTCTAAGACACTATTTCGACATTTAAACGAAATCTTTTACTAATGATACTGGGAAGATCCTTAAGTAATTTACAGTTTTTGTGGACAAACCCAAGTAAGAAATGACCACCACAAAGGAACATAAATAGAACCATACAAATAGTACATGCATGCTGGTTCTCAGATACCATCTCGCATATTAAAATCACATCATGCAGAAATGCACCTATATATAACTGTCATAATTTTGAGTTTTTGCTGCTATCCAAAGTCAAAGTTGTGGAACATATTGTATCAGAATCATTTGGTTATCCATGCAATTAGTGTCTCCTCCATGACAGTCTTGAACATTAAAACTAAAAATTAAATAAACGACACTGATAATTTTGAGTGTTTGGTACAGGTTGGCTATCACTGTGCAACTCAGTTAAACATAAAACCCTATGGGAAAAACAGAGAACTCTTTTTGTTAGAAAACACTGTCAAACATTCAAACATACGTTTTGGATTTCAATGAGCGTAATCTGTGTATTACTAGTAAATTATTAAGTCAGGGAATTCGTTACCAATTACTTAAAACCTTTACTAAATTCTTCCATAGATACAAAGATTTGGTCTGCAAGTTTGGCTGTACACGTAGAAAACTTATTTCAAACGTAATAACACATCCTAAATTTTACGGTGATGGTGTGAACCGAGCCCGGAAATTTAGATACGATCCGGGTAAACTTATCAATCCTTTAAATAAACTTATTCTAAAAGGTTACCTATTCAACAGTTATTAAATCTTTGAATATTGTTTTATTGGTATAAATATTGATTTTGTTATCAGTAAATTAAAACCATACTAAATATTAATCATATATGTACTTTCACGGTACTACAATCTGTCGATACCTATAGTTTTGCATTGCACAAGGTCATGTTTTTCTCTGACTGTTAATGACGTCTTTACACTAAATCCATTGGATGTTGGATGTGTAATGATTGATATTTTAGTGTTAGATATTTTTATAGTTTGTTCTTTTGTTGCACTGTTACACCACTATACCAGGTTAGGGGAGTGTTGAGCGCTCACAAACATGTTTAACCCCGCCACATTCTTTATGTGCCTGTCGCAAGTCAGGAGCCTGTAGTTCAGTGGTTGTCGTTGGTTTATGTCTGTCATATTTGTTTTTCGTAAATTGTTTTGTTATAAATTAAGCCGTTAGTTTTCTCATTTGAATTGTTTCATATTTTTCCTGTCGGGGCCTTTTATAGCCGACCATACGATATGGGTGTTTCTCATTGTTATAGGCCGTACGGCTGTCTATAATTGCTTACATCCACTTCATTTGAACTTTGGTGGATAGTTGTCTCATGGCAATCATACCACATCTCCTTTTATTTTCTATCCACACTGATCTGTGTCCACACTTGTTTTGTAAAAAAAAATGAAATGGTAATATAACAATATGCAGAGAACATGATAATAGGTCTCTAACCATTTAAAACTGTATTAGAAAAGCTCTCAGTATTTTTTATTATTTGTCCTCATTACAGCTGCTAGTAGTAACTGAAACATAAATATTATGAGATTTTCAAATTATTTGATGCACTGAACAGGTTCACCTGAATGACCAAAATACAGTTGGAATACAACAAAATGTGTGTAATTAGCATACCTACGTTAATGAAAATAAGTGAAACACTGTAAAGGTATGCGATCTTTAAGATGTGCTTATCTTCACAGAATCTAATCCGATGATTAGACAGAGACGATCAGATTTCTCAACACATAGGTGTATTCTTATCTTGTGATTAATTCATCTGATGCTGAATTCATTATATGTGGTTTTAATAAGATATTAATTGTGCATGAAATTGAAAGTGTAATTTAACATTAGATGACGTCGTTCTTAAGATTTCACTAAAATGACCGAGGAGAACTAATTTAGTGACCTTTTGGAAACAATGGATGTATTAAGTAATATATGTTAAGTAACTTGAAAGAGGTGCTTTAACCTCTGATCGTGACGTATTTCCTCGTGGTCAATTTTCTACTTGTAACTTGAAACGCGGTTGCTTCTGTTATGTTACTTTCCTGTGTTAAATTAATATAATTCAATAACACATATACACCCTGTGAACTAAAACGTTTTTGATACAGGATAAACATGGACGTTTACGCTTATATCATAAGCATTGTGTTCTTTGGAATTGTGAGCATACGGGCACAGTCAATGGAAACATCCCATACTGGACTAACAAGCTTCCAACAGCTAGACCGGACTGTTGTCGATTCATTGTTAAAAATCGTAGACGATAAGTTTGATTCTCTAAGTGAACGGATATCGTCTTTAGAAAGATCAGTCAATGGATTGCAGTATTATAATGTAAGACAATTCAAAATAGTCAATTCAAATCTAAATTCTGTTAATAAAGTATTGCAAGCAATGAATTCGCAAGTGGGATTGATGGATGTCGAAAACAAAGGTGTAAAGATATCTGTAGATTTGATGAAGCAAGATTTAAAAGCAGTGGAGAAAACAAATAATTTAATGTTTGATGCCATGGAGCAAAACTTTAATTATCTAAACAAGGGATTTTCAGAGAAACTAGAAAACCTTCAAAGTATGGTATCAGTGATTAATCGATCATCTGATGAAATAGCACAGAAGATGCAAGACGGATTACCGCGTAATAGTATACCAGAAGTTAGAGAACCTAACTGCTCCAACATACTTGAAAAGTTTGAAGAAAAAGTAGATATTGTAATGAACAACACCCTAAGTAGCTTAAGGTACATGCAAGATGAATCTACAAATAGAAAAACATTACATGTCATGAATGTGTTGACTGAAACTTTGAAAAGCCTGAATAATGATGTTAAAAGAACAATGTCTTACTACTATCATACTGGTGATTTGGTTGAGAGAATCGTTGGAGCCACAGAAACAGTTGCCGAAGACCAAACAAGTATTCGCGACGATCTGCGGGAATTTCTGGAGAAGCAGACCAATATAACGAACTGTAGCCATCAATATAAAACTTTACCCACCTCAACCAATCCTCCTACGGTGTCTAATCACAGACAGTCAGAACAAGTGTCAAAATGTGAAATTCCTGTACATGCTATTACTGAATTTAAACAAGTATTGAAAAATGGATCACAATTAGTGGAACTTGTTACTGATTTGGCCCAAACTAGTCAGATTTCTCTAAAAACAACCGTAGTAGAACTTCTGAAAGAGGTTCATCGCTTGAAGGAAAGTAAGAAAACAGACATAAATCACCAAAATCCACCGACGATCAATGGATTTATTGAGTATGACTTTGAGTTGTTGTTAAATGCTACAAAGGGAGTATTACAGATGATAGAGGCTGTGGCTTCTAATACGCGATGGATTCCTTACATCTTCCATAACTTACAATTTGTAGAAGTGCAAGTTAATCATACATTAGCCAATTCTGTGAGCATACAGGGTGTTCTAGATGGTCTCGAAAGAGGTCACAGTACTTCGGGATTGGATAAATTCTTTGCAGTGGAAAACTTTACTAGAATGTTTAACTACATCCATCAGTCAGCTACCAAGCTCGAACGTTTGACCCCGCCATTGACTCGATTATTAGGAGAGCCAGGTATCTATTTATTCTTCAGTTTTTGTTAAGTTTACCAAAGCTTTGTTTTCTTTCGACAAACTAACGCTGTTTAAAATGATATTTCAAAACCAGTTTTCCCTTTATCATAAAACCTTCAAGCTGTCTGTTAAGCTTTATTTGTTGTTTATTGGTTATAAACATTACACATACAAAATCTGCGACGACTAGAGAATACCCGGTAGTTATTGCATAGGCGGATCCATGACATTAAGGCATTCAGAATGTGTCGGTATTAAAAATGTTTGCAAGCGTTCACCCCCCTCCTTTTTGACCTTTACCATTAATCTCCAGTTTAGATAATATAATTTTATGACATGATCATTTTGTGCCTCAAATAAAGTCCTGCATTTCCCATACAAGGCATAGCCCTACATCATTGATATGGAGACTGCTGACTAGACCAATTAATTATATGACGTGTCTGTTTTATTTTTGTCTATTTTACCACTATCATAGAAGAACGTCTCTTCTGGCGTGATTTTTTAGAGCACTGTCTTCTATGTCAATTATGTACCATTTGTTTTTTAGATTAGGAAAGGATTTGCTACTCGAATTATTCGTATGTAATTTAACCTCGCTAAATGTTCTTCAATCTGATTGAAACACAAATCCTACGGTCCACGCTTTGCTTACTTTGTGCTTATCTTTTAAGCAAAGAGTGGACATAGGATCTATATTTAAATCAGATTGCATGTTGTTTTGCCTGCCTTAGTCAGATAAGTTGTCAGTGGTTGTCTTTAGTAATGTTTGTCCTTACGTAATTTGAAATTGATGGTCTTTTTAAAGTTGACATATCGTATAAAAAATTGTCTTTTGTTGGCGACCGTAAGTTGACATCCAGATGTCTTTTTGATATTCTTATTTATGACATTGGGTTGCTGTCTTAGTCATTTATTTTTCATTGGCATTTCCATACGCGATTTGCAGTTTAAGTCTGACTTTCACATCGAATTAAAACCGATTACCTTTTTGAAACACGTGCTATCATCATGAAGAATTTGTAATAGATTTTGATCAGATTTTGATAGATTTGTTGTGTATCGGTGCAGAATATATAAATTGAGTAAATTGATTTTTCTTGTTTTGCAGAACCTTTTATTGTTATAAACGGAGGTGCTAGAGACAATGAAGGACGCGTTGAAATTTACAAGAATGGCAAATGGGGAACTCTTTGTGGGAGGTTCGGCCATATAGAAGCAGCCTATATTTGTCGTCACCTTGGATACATGGGAGGAAATTCGGCGGGAAATGGTTACTTCGGTAGTGGAAGTGGAATGTTCTGGAAAATGAATGTTAGCTGTCTATATACAAGACAGTGTGATATTGTAAAGCCAATGATCCATTCTGACCACTGTGACCACCAGCAAGACTTCGCTGTCATCTGTGGTAAGTAAAGTATGGTTAAAGAGTCTCAAATGAGCCAATGATCCATTCTGACCACTGTGACCACCAACAAGACTTCGCTGTCATCTGTGGTAAGTAAAGTATGGTTCAAGAATCTCACATGAGCCAATGATCCATTCTGACCACTGTGACCACCAACAAGACTTCGCTTTCATCTGTGGTAAGTAAAGTATGGTTAAAGAGTCTCACGTGAGCCAATGATCCATTCTGACCACTGTGACCACGAACAAGACTTCGCAGTCATCTGTTGTATGTAAAGTATGGTTAAAGAGTCTCACATGAGCAACTGGACAAGTATGGGTCATATATACCACTTTTGCAATATCTGGAGATTTTTGTTTGATTGTTGTTTTCTAACCTCAAATGAGCTAGCTAGTCCAATTTTGCTCTAAAGCCGGACGACCTTTTTTATTGACTACCAATGATTTTTTATTATCTATCATTTATTATCAATGTATTATTATCCTGTCATGTCATGGTCGGTAGTGTCCTGTCATGGTCGGTAGTGTCCTGTCATGGTCGGTAGTGGCCAGTCATGGTCGGTAGTGCCAAGTCATGGTCTGTAATTGTCCTGTCATGGTCGGTAGTGTCCTGCCATGGTCGGTAGTGTCCTGTCATGGTCGGTAGTGTCCAGTCATGGTCGGTAGTGTGCAGTCATGGTCTGTAGTGTCCTGTCATGGTCGGTAGTGTGCAGTCATGGTCTGTAGTGTCCTGTCATGGTCGGTAGTGTCCTGTCGTGGTCGGTAGTGTGCAGTCATGGTCAGTAGTGTGCAGTCATGGTATGTAGTGTCCTGTCATGATCGGTAGTGTCCTGTCGTGGTCGGTAGTGTCCAGTCATGGTCGGTAGTGTCCAGTCGTGTCCAGTCATAATCGGTAGTGTCCTGTCGTAGTTAACATTGTATAATTTGGTTTTGAAAGGTCAGTTGTTATTAATTGTAGTGAATTTAACTGAAAAATTAACAAAATCAAGGACGGACACAAACCAGACAATTTATTTTATGAAAAAAGTAGCATTCATGTCAAGTTGTCAGGTCCTATAATACATTCATGTCAAGTTGTCAGGTCCTATAATACATTCATGTCAAGTTGTCAGGTCCTATAATACATTTATTAAACTCTAAAAGTGCAAATTTTGATTGAAAATTATGTATTCCTTTTGTAATACAATGTTAAAAAGAAAAGAAAACATTCCAGTATTCGTTAACATTGCGATTTAAATGGATATGAAATGGTGGTTGTGTATGTAATATATTTTGATTAAATGTAGTCCTGGTTGGAGTATGTTATATTTTGTTTGTAATATATACGTTGCAATAAAGATGAATATGTAGACTCTTGCCTTTTAGAATCTTTGTATTATTTAGACCCGAAACATGGGAGTCCATGGTTTTCACTATTTCTACAGGTTTGCCATCCGCAGTATCGACAGTGTTCAGTTTGTTTATTTTGCGTCGTTGAGTCGCTGTCTCCTGATTGACGCATACCCCACAAGTCCTTTCTTTCACAACAAGTAGTCGAAATAGTGTAACTTTTTCATTTATGACGTGGTAATAGAATATTTAATTTGGGAAAAACTGAATTCGGTGACCTTATGATACTTCTATAGCCAACTAATCTAGCAAAACATAATACAAGTTTGTGTGATATCTATGGTTTGTTTTGCTTAGAACTGATTAGTTTTGGTCAAGTTTAGCTCTTTTCATTAACTTTACGTATAAATAAAAGGAGATGTTGGATATTCGTCCATGAGACAGCCCAACAGCACAAAACACTAAAATACATTTGTCCTATAGGGTTCAACATACGGTTTCCAGCTTCTCAATTTCTAAATCGCAGAGTCTAGAAAAGTACATAAAATTTAATGAATAAATTAAACAGATTTTTTTTACATCTGCCATCAACACCAAATTCCCCGAAATGTCAAAAACACATCGACACATTACGTGTATTCTATACAAATGCATGTCTTCTTTTTTTTTAATATTCATTAGATTATGTATCAGAAAACAAGATATATAAATACATTGCTTATTTTCTGTTGTGTTCATACTAATTTAAACAAAGAAAATCTGTGACAATACACAGTTACTGCTTGCAACCACTTATTCTGAGATAAAGTACCTGTAGCATTACAATGATAAGTCGTTTACTTTTTATCAGATATCTTTCGGATGTATAATTTGAGTTAATACTGTAATCTTTTTGAGTAACAGTCCACCTTTCAAAGCCACAATTCTTCAAAATCGTAATGCAATTTTTCATATCAGTTTTCTTTTGATTTTAGATCACATGGTTCGATTAAGAACAGACGATGAATCCAATAGCAGAAACATTGGTTATCTAGAAATTCATCACATGGATCAATGGTCGCGGGTTTGTTCAACTAACTGGTCGGCGGAAAACTCACGAGTTGTTTGTAAGCAGCTGGGATATGAAGATGGTGTTCTATCCTCGCCCAGTGCTGAACAAGTACTTACCACAGAGGTTGTTGCTGTTATGAACAAAGTTAATTGTACAGGAAATGAAATCAGATTGGACGAATGTAAATATGGTGGTTGGTCTCCAAATCTATGTCCGTCAAAAAAATTTGTTCATTTGACTTGCTCTTGAAAACAGAACTATTAGTACGAACTAAGAAAATCATTTTAACAAGCCTAGTCTTATTTATAGAAATGTACACATTGGTTGATACTGTAGCTGACATATCTGTGTTCTAACAGATTTGTTGTTTTTGTTTAGATATATCTGCATGTACAATAGTGTGAAAGCAGCATATTTCATTTCTTCATTTCAGCTGGCACCAGTCGTACCGAACAATTTCCCGTCCTTTTCCACATATTGATGAAATGTTATTTACTTTGTCATATTTCGTTTATAAATAAATAACTCGTCTCTTAGTTTATTGCAAGATCTTACCAAATGTTTGGCTAGTATGTAGTAATGTTCAATTTCCTTAAATATCCAGAGATATATAAATAACCATATCAATCACATACTCGTATAATTACAGTACATGTATTGAGGTTCGAAGAAATACTAATAATATTGACATACAGCAAGAACTATCAAATACCAGAAAGAGTGTAAACAAGAATGTGTGTCCACGGGACACCAAAGGTCATGCCTTGCTCGCACTATCACATTACTATGTTAAGTGAATCGCAAAATATCGATCAAAACCTTAATTTGTCTGATATATATTAGAGCTAAATCTATTTCCAGCCTCGCATATGTGTCCCATGATGTCATGACACTCAAATATGTGACCCTTTGTCCAGCCTCAAATCTGGGCCCAGTGACGTCATTACATTCAACTTTATGACTATGGGACGGACACATGATAGAATGTGTTGTATGGAACAACATAGCCAGAACAAATATTTTAAATCATTTGTAAAGGGCTAAACTCATTCGAATGGCACAAAGCACAAAAATCATTTAACAAAAAGACAAAGGACACCAAAAAACCGATCTATTATTATTATTTCTTTGAACCTCAAAAAGCGTTTATATTGAGAGAATTGTTTTATGTTATTATTGATTGATTGTTGTTTGCTTTACGTCCAGTGGCCAATATTACATGAATGTTCAGGACAAGAACAAATTAACTTGGCAATTAATAAAATAGGTAGGTTTTCTACCGGGATGACGTACAGGAAATTTTGAACGCCACTAGAAAATAGGGATAAGTTGGATAGGGATCGAAATTTAGCCTTGCGACTGACCACCTATGGACCCTCCAGAGTTGTTGTAAGGGTCCATGTGGAGAGAGTGTGGCACTCTTTTCATGGGGCATCGGATTTAACGTCCCCATTCTGACCGGACGTAGCTGCGAAGTTATATATCCCGCACAGCCAAACGGACGCTCCAATTTAGCGAGGGTTCAACTGCCAGTGGGAAGAATCCCTAGGGATGACCATATTTCTATAACCCAGTCAATCCATCTAGCTTTTTATATTGTGACTGTTTTTACTGTCCAACTATTTTTTACATTTAAAACTAAATGATAAGGCTAATTTCTGACTGAAATATGAAAAGCGTATACTTTTTATTGCGAGAAACTGTAAGGTCCTATGTACATAGTTCAACGAGCATTAACTCTTTATTTGCCTTTCAAATATCAATTTAATTCGAACAATACAATCTGGAATTGATATCTTTGATAACAAACATTTATCCTAGATGTCGTTTTGATAATTCTGACGTCAGCACATATGGTATGGCTTGTTGAGAAGGGCACAGATCTGAGAAAAAAATGACATGGATTTTTTACGTCTATGAGTCAATAAAGAAAAGGACACAGATTTGAGAAAGGACATAGATTTGAGGCTAGTCAATAAAGAAAAGACACAGATTTGAGGCTTGTTAGTCTCGAATCTATGTCCGGCCTCAAATCTATAATCCTTTCCTCAAATCTGTGTCCTTTTCTTTAATGTCATAGACGTAAACGGATTTGAGGCTTACATATACATTAACTTAAACGGTTCACTTCATTATGAACTTGTTAATACTAATATGTTTAATGTTGATGTGACCATATACCACCTTAACCCAAAACTTGGTATGGGACGCACAGAACGGAAAACATAATGCCCCTACAGGCAGATATAAAAGTAAACGTTAAAAGTAAAAAAAATCAATTTGACAGCTTTAATTCATCTAAAATACTTTAATATCAACTGCACATGTATGGAACAGCAACATTCAGACCTGTTCCATGTCTATTCCTTCTATCTCGAAATGGTCTGGAAGTCTATCGCACATTGTAGAATCATAAAAGTTTCCCAAGTCCGTATTCAGAGACAAAGAGGCTGTGATAAGTCTGAAGTCTCTTTTCGACAAATATGTTGTTTTTGTTCGCGTGGACAAAGCTTCAAACAGTATTGTTTTTGTTTGTGAATCATATTACTACGAGTGCCTTATCAAAGAGTTAGGAGTAAATGAACACTCGGCTAATCCCACGTACAAAAACGTAACCTTTGATAAAAATGAGATCTTGGCAAACCACAAGTCCTTCATGTCCTCGTTGAATATTTCAATGAACAACAAATCTGAGGACTTGCAATGTTTGCATTGGATACCTTAACTTCACAAAGCTCCGTACAAACAACGGTACCTTGTCGGCTCATCTGCATGTTCTACCAAGGAATTGTTCGTTTGATTAGCCAAAACTTTGTCCGTAGTGAAAGAATGATTACAGAATTAATGCGACACTGTTTACTCGCAAAGTGGCATTTACCATATGTAGATTCTTAAAACCTCAAAATTACTTCTGGAAAATTTAAAATCTCGGTCATTCTCTGAAATAAATTCTATATCAAAACCTTCGATTTTTCTACGCTTTACACCACCATACCACATGCAAAATTATATACCCATCTTTAAGAAATAATCCACAATGCTTTCTCCATAAAAATGGTACCAACAAACGCTTCAAATTTAATGTTTTGGGATATAATTCTGCAATCTTTGTGAAAAATGAGCCGAAAATAAAACATTCTAGTTGACTCATTGGAAATCATATACCACATCTTCTTATTTTGATATACACTGAAGAACAAATGATCATTATGCTGGTGTTTCTCATTGACAACATATTTGTTGAATATGGTGGTAGAATTTTCCAAAAGGTTGTCGGGATTCCTATCGGAACCAACTGTGTACCTCACCTGGCCGACCTTTTCTTATTTTCATATGCGTCGGAGTTCCTTCCGACACTTGTAAAAAACAAGAAGATCAAAGAAGCTAGATGATTTAATTTCACATACAGGTATATTGATGATGTTCTTTCTATTAATAATCCAAACTTTTCTCATTTGGTCCCATTAATATATCCCCCCGCTGAACTAGAGATTAAAGAAACAACAGGTAGAGATTCCTCTGCCTCATTTCTAGATATTTACCTCGAATTTGACAACAGCGGTCACCTCGGTACCAGAATCTCTGACAAACGAAACGATTTCAATTTAGAAATTATATTTTTTTTTCTCACCTTAGCATCAATATACCAACTTCACCCGCGTATGAAGTATACATTTCTCAACTCATACGATGTTTAAGAGCTTGAAGCTGCTACTCAGACTTTGTAAAACGTCATCTGTGTCTGAGCAAAAAAATAATGAGCCAGGGTTTTGTCAAAGAACGTCTCGTCCTTTGTCTCAAAAAGTTCATCGGGAAAGTACCAAGACGTAATATATAAATATTCAGTGTCTACTTCACAAATAATACAGGATGGTCTTGAGTTATAGACTCTAGATGCTGAAGTTGCGTATCTTTTAATTTACTTTACAGTTTTCACTTTATTTGTCTTCATGCTATTATGTTTTTTTTTGTCGTATGACTTTTGATGTGACTCGGTATTTACGCACATGGTGCAGGTGGGTCCTGGGGTGCGATTTGGACGCAAGAGACTTTTACAGTGTTATTTCCATTTTGATTACCCTTGTATTTATATTTTACTTAAATGGTACTTTATCGAGGAAGTGCATACTAAACACGGTATGTACCGCTATCAACTAAGAAATTTGTTATCGGCGTCTTTGACAATTTACTATCAAATACAAAATGTTTTTGTTGGCGTCTTTGTCAAATTTACTATCAACTACAAGTTCAAAACCAACAACAACTAATTAGAAAATCATGTATCATAGACCAGAGACATATACATATATATGTCTCCTGAGCTCAAAGACTATTCAATCTAATTAAAATATAGATCTCGGATTTCGTTATACTACGTTATACTACATACGAAGATCTAACAAGTACCCTACAAGGTTTCACTTTTGTGACCTTATATAACGTAATATTTGACCCCAGATAGTATTTATATCGACCAATCAGAATGCTCCTTATAAACGCGACCTAGGAACATGTTGAAGATGGCGACGTAGAAATGGAAAAACAACATAGAAAATGCATTAACTGAAATTTTGCCTTAGTACAAAGTGAAAGAATTGAAATTTGAGAAGAGAAAAATTTTGGAAATCAAAGATTGCATGGTCAGGCTTCCAACATGCTTCAAACGGGCTATGGAAAGAGTTTACATACCAGATATCTGCTACCCGATATGGCGATAATCAACTTATCAAGTCTGCATTCAAAGGTAAATTCTCGAAAATAGAGTATTATTAAAGGTTGACATTTTTCTATCATTGGGCAACTTCTCGAGTGTTTATTAAAAAAAATATTTGTGGAGGATTCACAGTGTACTTTAAAAAAACATGACAATATCCCAGAAAATACATTGCAAGTCTTCATTCTCCTAATTCTCCTACGAAAAAACTATAATTTACAAAGTCAATGAAGATATGGGATCAGATAAATCTAAATTCATTGGAAATAGTATATAAATCATAATGTCATCTTATTAATGATATTCTACTGTGTACTTGCAAAGATATACATGTATACTTATGCCAGCACATGCAGAAGAAGTTTTAATATCAGCATACTTTTTTTACTTCTGTCACACACTGATACATGTTGATATCATGTGGTGCTCCAGATAATTGTTAGGGGAAATTTTCTGCCAAGAAAGAAATTAATTGTTCACTATTCTTGGACTCGGCTACAGTGGGTCAGAATGATAATTAGTGTTTCAGTGTTCATTAAATATTAGTTTAATGCTTTGTGAGAAAAATAACTTCATCCTGTTTATGTACATATAAAAAAGAAGATGTGGTATGATTGCCAATGAGACAACTCTCCACAAGAGACCAAATGACACAGAAATTAACAACTATAGGTCACCGTACAGCCTTCAGCAATGAGCAAAGCCCATATTGCACAGTCAGAAAAACTAACAGCCTAATTTATGTACTAAAAAAATGAACGAATAACAAGTATGTAACACATAAACAAACGACAACCACTGAATTACAGGCTCCTGACTTGG